TTAAACCACCAGTACCCCCGAAGCAGCCTTCCCAAACCTTGTTGTTGGCAAGCTACCGAACCTCTTCGTCTTATGGGAATGCAGCTTGCAACTGGTCGTGATATGGGGCTGACCGGTCCTTCAATGCTGGCGACCGGTACTTCTGTGCTGCTTATTTCGTTTTTTTTCCCTCCCTTTGAAAAAAAAAAAAAATTCCGTTCTTCCTTTTTCTGTCGTACGTTTTCTTTTTCCCCATAGGGTGGCTGCTCCTGCCAGAGGAGCAGGCGAAGGCACGGATGGCGGACTCGTAGTCAGAGAGCCGTAAATAGCTCTATTGCCAGAAGTCATCATTCTTCAGCAGGGCCATGCTGATCTTCTCTGTATCCTTCCATGTTCCTGCGTAAAATTCATGCCCATTTTGGTAATCTCGACAAGAGTTCAGCGTGGGCCATTGCAAATCTTGCAGGATGAACGCTCCAACAGCAACCTCGAAAGACAAATCGTGGCAGTGGATCTTTCTTTTTTTTGGACAATTTCTCAATTTTCAAAAAAAAGAAAACAAAACAAAACAAAAGGGCCACGAAGCTTTAGTATGGGCGTCGCTCCACTCTCTGGACATGCACAAGAGACAAAATCATAGCAGTGCATCTTTCCGTGTTCTAGCGGAAGATTCACTCTCGTTTTGCACATGTAGAGAGTAGTGGAGCGAGACCCTATATTTCCGTGTCCCAAGCATGAGGCGTCAGCCGAGCGCTGTGGGCCTCCCTGCACTGCTCTCGACAACCACAAAAGACAAAAATCATGGGGGTGTATCTTTCCATAATCTAGCGGAAGATTCACTCTCGTTTTGCACATTTCGAGAATAGTGCAGCGAGGCCCTGTATCTGTTTTTTTTTTTTCTTTTTTTGTACACTGAGTGAGCGTCTCGGTTTCCAGAACTTGCGCCGCTCTGAGAGGAACAGCCCCCCACTCGCGCCGTTTTCAGAGGGAGATTTTCTTTTCGTTTTCTCACTTTTTTTTTTCTTTGTTTTTTTTTTATTCTCTGGTCGGCCGTTTCCGTTTTCGAAAGGAACGACCACCACGTATGCATCGAGGCTGTACCAAGCCTCTACCAGGCCTGCCCACGTCTTCCATGAATTCAGGAGCTGTGGAACACAACTTCAGCACCCAGGATTTGTGTGGCCATGGTGGTCTTGGCAGCCATCCTCTAGTGTCACATGATGGGTGTACGGCTAGCTGTGGAACACAAGTTCTGGTGTAATGCAAGGACTGCGGGCAGACTCAGAAAGCTCATTCTGTGGGTGAGATTCCCATCGGCCGTCTTTTAGGGGATCAACCTGGTTGAGAATACAGTTCTAAGATCTACAACTTCTGGCCGATTGTATCCTCTATATGCCCTTTCTGTTAGTATTCTGTTCGAATTGGTTATTTTTCACATGAGAGCAGTGTTGCACCCTGCCTACCGCAGAGGTCTAGGTCTACCAGCCAGACAGAGGTGGCCATCTGGCATGGGCCTACCGTAAGGCAGGTTGCTGATGATTTATGCCTATCAAGTGATAGGCAATGCACTGAACCAAGGAATCACCGTAAGGCGTGAAGAAAGACGTGCAAACAATGCAGCCGAAGACTGAAAGGTCCCTCTTGACTCGACACACATACATCAGACTCGTGACTCGACGCACTCATACACCATCGTCATACAGAGGTGCAAGAAGGGGAGCATACATAGAAGAAAGGTCTCTCCTTGTGCAACACACTCACATGGGGAGAAAGCCACAGATAAAGATGCCGACGAACGACTGCTGGATCTGAAATGGCCAAAACGTGGAAACCAGTACCTCCAGTGGTCTGGACAGTCAGAAGTGCCTGTTTGGACAAAACAAAGTCCAAAATGGCGTGCGCAAGACCAACCCTTGAGCAGACAAAAACTCTCTGAAACGGAACTGCCCAACTCTCACGAAATCAGAACAGCCAAAAATGTTAGATACGAACTAAATCACTAGGAAGACTGTCAAGCCCGACTGGTCATCCCCGGCCGGGCATCGGGCCATTATATGCCAAGGGGGGTCTGAGGCCCAGGGTCATGGGTGTGCAAATAATAATAATAATAATAATAATAATAATAAGAATAATAATAACAATAATAATAATAATTATTGTTATTATTTATTTTATTTTTTGTGGTTTTCTTTGCTCTCCCGGAGAACCCCAAATCCGGGCTCGTTTCTTTTTTGAGAGTTGGCTGTCAAGGAGGGGGGGAAGGGCGGTATAAATTGGTTTTGAAGGGGCTGAAGGGGTTTGAAGGGGGGTGCCTTAGAATGATTCTGTTGTTTTCTTTTTTTCTCCGGTTCTGTGAGGAATTCTGATGTGAATGTCAGCCAAAAGTCGTTTGTATTGCAATTCTACACAACATTTTTTTTCCCAGATTTTTTTTTTTTTTTTTTTGCGCGTGCGCGGGGGCTGCCCAGAACCCTGCCCAGGGGTCATCCCTGGCCGGGCATAAGTTGGGTGCCCGGGCACCCGGAAAAACAAACAGCCTAGCTAAATAATGCAAAAGATAAAAGAAACAGACAAAATAACGGACGCTGCAGCAAACACATACACCAGGCCCAGAAAGTGAACCACAGCTCTCAAGGCCGCCTGGCTCGTGCTGCCTGGGAGTCTAGGAGTCAAGGTGGGGCCCCCAGGGCGGTTGTACCTTTTTAGGCTGTACACCTACAGGTTTCGGCTGGTACGTTCCCTGTGATGGAGGTAGACCTACATTTTTGCTCAGCAGGTGTGCGCATGGGTTCACAAGGATGGCTTAATTTCTGGAATGTAGGATTTGAATTTTGAACCTACAACAATGAGGTAACCAGTTCCACGACGTCAAATATTGCTATGCATGGTACTCTTGCATTACGATCTGGAATCGGATCCTTGACTTTCCAGGGTCCCAAGTTCTACGAGAGACGAGTCGGGACTGGGGCTTGCTTGTGCCTTCTGATTGATTGCCACCAGCACCTGTATTAAAACAACCAGTACGTCCGAAAAAGGAGATTGAGCCTCTCCTAAAAAGCACGAGGCCATGAACCACCGATTCATTTTATCGACGCTCCATGGCCTCCAAATGGTTAGGAGAGGCTCAATCTGCATTTTCAGATGTACTGGTGGTTTTAATGTTCTTTCAACTTCTTTGTTTTACCAACTTTGACATGGTCAGTATGATTCTCCTGTTAACAAAGAGAGAGAATCATATGTTAAAACACACACAGGCCGAGTTGGCGGAGATTTCACAACGGCCTGTGGAGTAATGGAAGTCTCCAGAGTGGACGTGCCGTTAACTCTAATTTTTTGAGCGTATTCATCCTTTATCAAACCTAACCCTTAAATTGTTTGGATGTGTATAAATGACAGGTACATGGCAGCAACTTTGCAAGAGTGTGCTAAGCAAGCTCGAGCTGTGGTTGCCGTTGTCGGGAAAGGGCACCAGAAAGGCATTGCAGAGAACTGGGGAAAGCCAATCGATGTGAGTATTGATAAGAGGACTTTGACCGATACATTACACATGACGAATGTTTTGAACATACCGAACCAACTCTTTGGTTCCCCCCAGAAAAACAAGCCTCGGATCTGTGCGTGGGGAGCAGCACGTGCTGCGAAACGGGCCCAGTGTCTTGTCCTTGGATGTCCAGAACAATTGAAATACAGATTGGGGGTACCTACTACCTAGGCCATTTACTCGGCCAACATCTGGAACCAACATGAGGTTACACTGATGACAGGCTTGCAAACTCTTACCTGGCATCAGTGTTATTTAAACCACCAGGACTGACTAAAGTTGTGCTCGTTAACAAGCCACAATTTTAGGAAACGTACGGGCAACTACAGGAGTGCCCAAATTCATCCGACTAGAGAAGTTTCTACTCTACTTTTTCCCACGGCCGATAGCTGGGCCAAGTACTGGTGGTTTAAATCACTCTATCCTAGCAGGGAATGCACGGCTGTTTCACCCCTGTGCGGTACATATGGGGTACAAATTCTGGCCTGCCTTACTACACTGCATATGCTGGTGTGCTTTCCGTCAGATTATATTGTTCGCTCACTGTGACTTACGTATGTACGAGTCTACAATCTTTCTGTACCGTGTTTTCCTTCTGTGTGGTTTACCATCAACCGCCACTCTATGCGCTGCCAAGTCGAAAAAATTGGAACCTACCCATGATTTGTGATGGATCGACTCCAATTGAGAGGGTACGAACAGCAGCCCTTTCCTGGATGTATCTGGCAGCAATCACGACTCCCAACGAGCGTACTCACAGTAGCACTTCCCTGGACGTATCTGGCCACAATAACGACTCCCAACGAATGTATCTGACAGCATCTACGTTCAGAACCGAGTCAAAAGAAGCTGTGGTCTTTTTGGTTCACCGGTGTTCAAATACAAGTTCATAGCAGCCTCGGAGAAGACGCTTGACCGATTTTCTCTTTTTCGGTGACTCTTTGTGGCCTTCATTTGTCGATTCATGGGTTTCGATTTGCGCATCTTTGAACACAAGGCAGCCGCAAAGAAGACACTCGAGGACATATTACTCAGACCAGGACTTTTTCCACTTCATCATGGATGTGGCCGGAAAAGGGGTCACGTACGTCCAGAAAAGTCCCACCGTAGTGTCAGTGAGCGCTGTCTAACTGTTAGACCGGAGTTCAGCCGTTTCAAAATTCCCTTTGTTTTAATCTTTTGTTTTCGGTGTCTTCATGTGTCAAATCGCTCTTCCCGGCAAGCGAACGGGCACGTGAAAAAGTTGGGACAAGCTGCTTACACGATTTGCGGATAGAAAAATGTTGACACCTCCTTTGAATTCTTGGGCCTGGGCCTCACTGTGCTTCTCTTTAGCGAGCTTTCTTTCCGTGGCCTGGGCTCTCTTCTTTTCCTCGTGCTCTTACCCTTGATAAGGCAACTTTTCGGCCTCCAACGGCGGGCGGCACGGGTGGGGAAATACGAATGGAAAAGAATAGGTAATGGTCCTGCTGGCAAGCTTGGCAGTAGCAGATCTCAGTGCTCCCAATAAGCCGATAGAATCAAAGTTATCAAACCACGTAAATATTGAATACTGAAAGAAACCAACACTCGCAAGCTGTGCAGATGGAAGCAAGCAAAGGCTGTTATCTGAATGAGGACATACTCACGTTAGGACTGTTTTACTGATTTGTGGATGCAGGTGTGGCCAGATGCTTCCAGATCTGGTGGTAAATGCGTTCAGATACATTTAAGTTAGTGCTAGTGTCAGTATGCTCTGAGTCATGGTGAGGAGGGGAGAGGGGGGGGGGGGGGNGGGGGGGGGGGGGGGGGAGAGAATCCTAAACTGTGGCCAGCCTCGTCCAGAGACTGAGCACCTGCTGCTGGCAAAGAAGCAGTGTGAGCTGCCCCAACGACAGGGCCACTGAATCCCAGAGACCAAACCACACACTGACTCAGGGAAGGCGATAGCATTCTGCTGCATCATGAACGACGCCAATCAACGCTAGGACAGACAAGAACAAGACTGGGGTTAGTAATCTTATCAAGGAACCCTTAAATCATTTCAGAAGTTTGATTGTGATTAGAGTTCAATAAACGACCAGTTGACACGAGCCTAAGTTGATGAAGCTGCCTTCCAAGGCGGGTGAACCTGCAACTGGGTCTTTTCAAACTGGCCTGCGCCTTTTTGGTACGAGTCCCAGGCCCCAAGCCAAGTGCTCTTACCACATGGACCAGTAAGAACGCTACGTAGGTTTGTGTGAACTTTTTTTTTTTTTTTTTTTTTTTTTGTGAACTGGTGGATTAAAACCTACCAGTCATAGTAAAGCAGAGGCAGTGAGAGCACTGGTGATATGGGCCATAGGCACGACGCATATGAAATAACTTCAAATAAGCAGAGGAAGGCCGTTCACAGGTCACCACGATGCATCACACAGCAATTCTAGCTGTCCCCAGCTAAATCACTACTCCATATAGCCCGTTGTGAGCCCGATCAACCCTGCAGCGGGNCTAGCTGTCCCCAGCTAAATCACTACTCCATATAGCCCGTTGTGAGCCCGATCAACCCTGCAGCGGGCAGTGAAGGCGCCGATTATACTCGAATCACTATTGGCGACCGTCCGTTGCGCAATGAACCCTGCATAAATATTGAAGATGGCGGGTAACACATTTCCAGGGCACAACGATCGAGGTGGCATCCCATGTGGAGAGGACTTGTGGCATGGAGTTGAGCATCTTCTCTGTGGTGTCACCTCAATTGCCAAAGTCTCGAGCCTCCGAGCAAGACGTGCAGTCATAAAACCATCTACCTCTCGGCACCTTCCATCATTGTTCACCGTCAATTCTGCCGTCAGCTCTCATCTCCCAGCCGTCCTCAACCGGTTTTGGTTTTGCAATGTTCCCTACTCCCTGTTTCTTACCATCCACAGTCATTCGTGCCACATGCTTTAGTAGATAGCACCGACAGTCACTGTACACCTAGGCCACAGCCGCCACGACCAGCGGTGGAAACATCTGGGTGTCGCAGTGATCCTGACAGCTTCAAGCCAATCGGATAGCCAAGGACTGAAAGTAGGAGCGGTGAAGGAGACAGCGGATTTGCTGCCGACAACGGCAGTTCTCCTTCAACATGTTCCACGCAAATCAACCGCGAATGGCATCGCGTTTGTTTCTGACAAAGTTAAATCGGAAATTGATGCTGGAATTCATATACCATTATCGACGGCGAAGGTTCTTCCGCAAGTTTGGACGACGGGCCTGTAAAATCCATGATGTTTGAGAATTTCATTGAGACCCCCCCGTCTGGAGTCTCTACCTAATTTGAGCAGCATCTGTGGGGGGGTGTGGAAAGTTGCGATGTCGTTCACAGCCTCAGAAAGTGCAGAAAGTATATATGAGATGTGTACGAGTCATGCACACAACCCTCAAACGAACGGTTATCCCATATATACTCTCGGACATCTGATAAGGTAACATCGTTCTCATTCACTGGAAAGTCTCCCCCCCCCCCGTTCCCCCTCCCTCCCCTCCCTCCTTCTCCCTTGCACTCATTGCCTCGTTGGCGGAAGCCTTGTAGCTGCATCGCAAGATCATGTTTGCCCTGAACAATGACTGTTTTTGTCTGATCTCGTGATGGACTGCAGATTCAGTCACTGATGACAGTTCCACTTGAGAAGCCCAAGTCTTCATGGTTGTGTTTTTCATCAGTCGGCCTGATGGTCCTGAGTGTGGCCATCGGTGGGGCTGCAGTGTACATGGGCTCAAAGTATCTTCGCGGGTCAACGTGATGTTATCTAGAGCAAGGCCATTCACCGGCGTTGGTGCGATATCAAAGCAAGAGAGAACTCTTGGGAAGAGTGCTGGCATTTTTGTTTCGTGTTATCTGGTATGGTCGATCGATGTCCATTGGCTTGTGTGCTTGGAGCAGCAGGGCAATGGAAAAAATAGTCTATGGTATTGAGGGCGTGACATTACGCATCTTAAAAGCAAGCAATATCTTGGTGGATGCTGGACATCCATCTCTTCAACAATCAATCATCGAAGGCCACACCCTGTTCCGCAGTCATATCTTTTCTGCATGTGCTATTCTGAGTCTTTCCCCCAGCAATTTCTGCGGCAAGAGGGCGCGGTGAGATGTTTTCTGCATGTGATGATTGTCTTTTCTCCAGCAATTTTCTGCTGCGACGGAGGACTCGGCAGCAAGAAGTAAGTCTCAGGTCTGTTTCACCCTTGTTTTTCGATGGGATAGCAACGAGTAGTAGTGCCCCTCGTTGCTCGTCGGATCTTCTCAAAAGAATTTCCCAGCCCGCTCACGGACACACACAAACACACGCGCACGTGCAAGAGATGTCGCGTGACAAAATTTTGCAACCAGAATTGCTGTGGCTTTGTCTTCTTGACAGCCAGCCTAGGCAAACCCGACAAGGCAGAAAACTTTCAGGCCCATCCATCCATTCGTTGAAGGAGAGCTGGAGTATCATCAGCAAGCCTGCTGGTCTTCCCGCTGTTTTTCCCTTGTGGTCGGAGTCAAGGGGGGTCATCGCATACACGGCCTACTATCGAGTTCAGCAGACGGAGAGGGGCTGCGAATGGTAATGAGGGCAACTCTTTGTCGGCGTTAGTCGTGTAATAATGAATTGAAGAAGACAATGTGCAAGGGGTTTGTGGAACCAGCCCCCTTCTTCTTCCTGTGCCCTTCTATTTTTAGAAATTCTTTTTTGCAGGAAGGGTTTGGGAAACAGAACATGCAATCGAGGACCTTCTGTGTCCATTGGCCGATGGTCTACTACACGAAGGTTGGACCACCACTACACCGTAGCAGTCTGTGGTGGTCCCGCAGGGAGGAATCTGCCGGCCCTGACGAAGCACGGCACCGTAGCAGTCTGTGGTGGTCCCGCGGGGAGGAATCCATGCATCCTCCTTGTACTACTTGGAGAGGATAAAAGGTGGCGGTCCTGCAAGGCGGCCTCGAGCACATCGGGGTGGGGTGGCTAGAAGGTAAAAGTGGAGGTGAGCTCAGAGCCAGCTGCTGTGAAGGATAGCAACTGCTCTTCAATGCAATTTGGTACGTGTACGGCTCATGTCTGAACATTATTATGCTGATAACAGAAGATGGACAGGTTGGGTTGGGGGGGAAAGAAGAGAAAAGAATGAAGGTGACACGTATAGCAGGAGACGTGTAGGCTGCAAGGGAAGATGTGCATGGAGTGACAACGAGATTGGCTGGGTGGATGGAAACCTTCCCTTGTAATCCCAGGAGCCCTTGTATTTGTGCAGTGCACTGAGTGCAGCAAGAAATGAATGCTCCACACAGGACAGGACTTCTGAAAATGGTAGAGGGGGAACCTCTTCTTTACCTATCTGAAGTGCCTGCTTTCTGGTTTTCCTTCCTTTCTTCTTTTTTACCATTCTCCTTGACTTCTTTTGAGTTCCTATATATAAACAGTTTCTGTCACAGCCCCTCGTTTGTTGTCCTCTTTTCCGTCTTGTCCCTATCTGCCTACGGCTTACCGGGCAGCTCTGTTTGACGATATATTGTTTTGAGATACACGATTTTGAATATTTTGAGGTATAAATGGGGAAATTGAGATGTCATTCCCTGAAAAGACTCCACTTTTAAGTGTTGAAGGTTGTGTTACACTGAAAAGCTGCGTAGGATTGTGTTTGCCTTCTCGGGCGAACACGAACATGTTCGTCCGGAACGCGAACGAGCGCCCAAAGCCCTCCCAACGCGAACATAAGAAAAAAAATAGTAACAATAATATATCTCAGAAAAATCTGAAAAAAATGTATGTTATGTGAAACACCAATGCAAGCAACTTTTGCCTTGGAGCCATGTTCAAATCCTTAGCCTAACGTGAGTTAAAGATCAAAAATCGAAAAAAAAAACAATTATGAAAGAAGAAAAATGTTCGGCCGAACACGTTCGCGCGCGGTACGTTCATGCGGAACACATTCGCAGTGAATCTTATTACATTCTCTATTGTATTTAATAAACTAAAAAAGAACAAGATATTGATTGAGAATGTGCTGGTTGGAGTAAAGTAAACACACTTTTTTAACTTTCTTTTCATTGCTGATAACTATCTTCTTCTCCTGGGGTGAGGTCCCACTAGCAACGGGATAGGATAGAAACGACTTTGTGGGGCAATTGAGTGACCCAAATCCTGCCGTGCACTACTCGTGATCCCACGGTCAGTATCTTACATGTATTACCCGAAAAAGTAAGGACATCTTCGTTCCCCTTCTCCTCTCCTTAACACTGGGCATGCCCTTGCAAAGAAAGATTTCCGCCAGAATCTTTTCAATCAGTTGGGGGTGGGGCCAACACCAAGGAGGGTGGGGTTGCCCTTAGGCCCACTGGATAGAAGATATTTCAGTATTTTACTTGCTGTTGTGCAATTATCTCATTGGGTGGAGCCCTCCTTCAATCACGGAGTATATGGAGGGTGTCAGGATCAGTGCTGACAGAAGTCGATTTTATTCCAGAAAATGTGGCGGTTGCTTTGTTCACTGTTGTTGCAACCACCACCATCAGATCATTTGTGATCTGATGGCTGTGAAGCACTCTGCCGTGATTTCCGGTGGGAGGTCTCTCTTTCTTTTCTTTTTTTTGGCATTTCTCCTGTTTTCTCAGCCCAGAAATTCGTAATAAACCTGTCTGGCCGCTGCCTATCAGTGTCGCACTGGATCGGCCACACTCCTATCCGACTTCTAATGGGACCTCGCCCCTGTTTTCAGGGGAAACTCATCCCACTCATAGGGCGCATGCACATTAGCTGTATCTCAAATGTATCCGGCCATATTTATGGCCGGACGTGGATGCATCTGACCACAATTACGCACACTAGCTGTATCTTAAATGCATCCGACCGCATTTATGCGCGGACATGGATGCATCTGATCACAATTACGTCCATAAATAAATAAGCTATTAATTCCTAGTGTGAATGGCTGGAAGTTCTTCAAAGGTCTTTTAAAGGCCTGAGGACTTTATTCCATCCACTCTAGTGTAGTTGATTAAGTGCAACCATCTAAACTCTATAAGCAACTTGTCAGAAATTGATCTAAGGCCCTTGCAGAGCGCACACTTCACTGGTCAACGTGAGATAAAAAAACGCAAAACGAAAAAAAAAAAAAAAAAAAAAAATCCGGCGACAGAAAGATGAGACTCAAAGCTACTCGGAGCATTCCATCTGGAAGCCTTCAATCTATTTCTGCCACTTCTGTTTTCAGGCAAAAATGATATCACCGTCTCATTCTATTTCCCCGCCCCTACCAGAGCTTGGAGCCTCGCTTGTGCCGAAAATTGGGTTAGTGTGTCGTAAATTGGGTTAGTGTGCCGTAAATTGGGTTAGTGTGCCGTAAATTGGGTTAGTGGATTCTCATGTCGGGAGAATTTTTTGTTACAAAAGATCAGTAATACAGTGTAATGATATAATCAAATCCACATAAATGAGAGGATATTAATTTATTAAACCACCAGTACTTCCGGAAGTATTGGCTTGCGTGCTGCCAGTCGTTGTGCAGTGCCCCAATGTTTCCAGTTGAATTCGTTTATTCCTGCGCCACAGGTCTGTTCATCTTGGCACGTCATGCAGGCCGCAATTTCTGGGAAGTACTGGTTTATCTTTATGTTAAAAGTTAGTACACTATGCCCACATAAAGCAGAGGATATTAAAATTTAAAAATGTGTGATATGCCCCTGTCAGGCGGGCATGCAAATTTGCGATCTGGACCTCCCTGTTTGTGCAAGGAATATGAGCGAGAGCGATAAACAGAAAACCAAGTCGCAAAATCGCGCAGAAGTCCAGATAGTCATGTACACAGCAGAGAGCTCAAATGCACCAAGATTCCATCCAAATAAGAGCGATACAATGAATTGGCGAGCCAATGTACCTGCCCTACCTGAACCCCTTCAGACTGTAACTGCCCATAACTGCCCATTTCTGTTTCAAAACTACCCATGGCCACCTACACCGAAACCTTTTGTTAACCACCTGTACCCGTACACAACCAATTGCTTTTTTCACCCCTACCCACCCGTAGCCACCCACAATTGTATGTACCCACTCCTAACCATCCGCACTTGTGACCCACCCTCCCCTAACTGCCCCTAGCTGTCCCCAGCCGCCCCTAACTGCTGCCCCTAACCATCTGCATTTGTGACCCATCCTCCCATAACCGCCGCTAATGGTCCCCAACCGCCCCTAACCGCCCCTAGCTGTCCCCAACCGCCCCAAACCGTCCCTTATCGCCCCTAACCATCGCCGACCGCCCCTAGCCGCCCCCTATCCCCTCGAACTGCCCTCCGAGGAAGATTCATTCGATTTTACTCATCCTATCGATGGAAGTAGCGTAAGGCCAGCCACGGGCTTGGAGCCACGGGGTTGGAGACTTACCTGTTCTCTCTCTCTCTCTCTCTCTCTCTCTCTCTCTCTCTCTCTCTCTCTCTCTC